AGTGAGGCCCATACAAAATTATGAATTGAATTCCTAATTTTGGAGGAATTCAATTCTTGGGTGGGAGATGGTATTTTAATTCATGGAGAACTAACCCATTAGGAATTCATCTTTTTTACCCAGTATATCCTCACACAATTTTTAAAATTCCAAATTTGCCATCCACTTTAACCAAACAACGAGGACATTTTAGTAATTAGTACCACTTCTACCTCAATTCCATATGGTTTAGTAAATAACTTCAATAGGAATTCGGAATATAACTCCCTTCAATCCATATGATTCTCCTCAATCCAACTCCTCCTCAATTCAATTCATCCTCAATTCAATTCCCTTCAATCCATAATTGGATTAGTAAACATGCCATTAGTATAAAAAGTAAAAATGGTATGGGTACATGAGCTCTGTTGTATAAAAGTTGGAATATGTATGGAAACTTACTTACATGATAAAGAAAAATTTGCGATAAAAATATAAAATGAAATGACATGAACATAAATTATCTTATCTCGAAGATACATGGAGCATAAATATAAATCAAATCAACAAAAAAATGTAAATAAGAAAATACATAATGAATATTTCTAGTTTCTATTGAGATGATCACGAATATTCATTGATGGGTGTTATCTGTAAATTTGTTTCCTGCACCAGGGCTTGGGCCTGACTCTTTAATCCCTCCAAGAGTTTCAACATTTGTGAATTTGTTTCCTGTACCAGGGCTTGGCCCTGAGTCTTTAATCCCTCCAAGAGTTTCAACATTTGTGAATTTGTTTCCTGTACCAGGGCTTGGCCCTGAGTCTTTAATCCCTCCAAGAGTTTCAACATTTGTGAATTTGTTTCCTGTACCAGGGCTTGGCCCTGAGTCTTTAATCCCTCCAAGAGTTTCAACATTTGTGAATTTGTTTCCTGTACCAGGGCTTGGCCCTGAGTCTTTAATCCCTCCAAGAGTTTCAACATTTGTGAATTTGTTTCCTGTACCAGGGCTTGGCCCTGAGTCTTTAATCCCTCCAAGAGTTTCAACATTTGTGAATTTGTTTCCTGTACCAGGGCTTGGCCCTGAGTCTTTAATCCCTCCAAGAGTTTCAACATTTGTGAATTTGTTTCCTGTACCAGGGCTTGGCCCTGAGTCTTTAATCCCTCCAAGAGTTTCAACATTTGTGAATTTGTTTCCTGTACCAGGACTTGGGCCGGAATCCTTAATCCCTCCAAGAGTCTCAACATCTGGGAATTTGTGTCCAGTACCAGGACTTGGACCGGAATCCTTAATGCCTCCAAGAGTCTCCACATTTGTGAATTTGTTTCCTGTGCCTGGACTTGGGCCTGAACTTTTAATCCCTCCAATGGTTTGTTGATTGGGAAACTGGTGCCCCACACCTGGGCTAGGGCCCGATTCTTTGATGGCTTCAAGAGATAACCCATCAAAGAAACCTCCAATTGCTCTACGATCAGAGTTTCTGTGCTTCATGATATTGAAAGGTCGAGCACTTACTGCAATGAATGTGGAGCTCAGCAAAAGAAGCAGCAAACTGAAAAACTTGGTTGTCATGTTGGTATTGGACAATTGAAAAACAGAGAGAGAGAGAGAGAGAGAGAGAGAGAGAGAGAGAGTATATTGTTGGTTTGTGTGTTTGTGTGATCTGCATGATGAAGTATTTGGTCTGGCCTATTTATAAACTCGGTACCTGGTAAGCAAGTTAGACTGTGAGACGAGGCTTGTTTGACTAAGATACTTGACATGCAACATATATCATATAAATTCAAACGAACGTGACATTTCCAATCTTTCATGGCATGCCATTTGTTCATGTGCTGCAATTAGGAAGCAACATCGATGGTTCTTGATCTCTAGCTAACATGTAGAAAAAGAATTGGAAAGATTGGTTGCGAGTACAAGTTAGAAAATGAGGAAGAAAATAATATATATATATGATGGAAACAGTATTGAATATTCTCTACTAGCTAGCCGGCTGCTATGAAGCCATCAGAAAGTTCTTGTAGTTTTGGGGAGAATCAAAGAAAAAAAGAGGTCAA